AAAAAAAAAAAAAACCTTTCTCTTCTAGGAGAACACTTTGAATCACTCATGACAACCTTTGTTCCGTGAAGTAAGCGGCCTTTTGCACTATGTGTTTGGCATATTAACAACAGTTCCACTTTAGGTTCTCATGATTTACATTTGCTGTAAAAGATGATCTTTGTTTCTGTTTTTCTTGTATTTATTATAACCCAGGACATGTTGGAGAACATCACAGAAAATCTGCTATTGTTTACAGTGGTCTCTGGGATGGTTTATCCTTATCATAGAGGCATATTTTGGCATTCCCTTTCTTTCCTTTGTTTTGTCTTGCCAAATTCTGTAATCACACCTGCAATCTATTTCTTTTTCTCTCTGATCTGTACCTCTTTGCAAGGAGCCGCTTTTCATTGGCAATTCTTGCCCTGAAAAATAATGATAGATATGACACAAACACAAAAATGGATGGAATACACTGCTGTTTAACTCTGTATTCTAAGTATCAAAAAAATTATCCACATGTGCAAAGTGCCACAGTAGTTTTTCGAGGTAACAGATTTAGGCCTAGCCAAGGTATGAACTGTGAATGGAATATCTTTGATGAAAAAAACTCGACCACCAACCAAGATTCATGATTTGCTCATGTGTTGGAGACTTCGTCATTTGTGCATGACGCATGTCAGATGATGAGTTTAAACATTATGTCAACAGCTAGAAGCACTGCCTGTAGTGATTTTGGGACATTGATTGGTTTACATGATCAGTGCAACCTTGAATGACCTTTTTAATCAGTACTTGGCAACAACCAATCACAATGTAGAGAATATTGTATAAGAGTGATTTCTTACAAATTTTGCAGAGTAGCTATTTAAACACCCGTTGTAAATAAGCGAATACAGGAGTGGAGTAAAACAGTTTGATTCAGTCTAGTTCGTTGGAATTCTATCCCTAGTAAATAGGGCAAAGTTTAGAAAACAGGAATATCTACAGTGTAAAAGTAAACAATATCCCTACCATGAAAGATCATTACAAAAACTTTGGAATTGTGTTGATTTTGTATAGCACAAGAGATAACTCCTTCTTAGCCAGTGGTATATCAACTGTTTTGTAGCAACAAATAAAGTTACAATTATCACAATTATAAAATAAGAATAAAACAATGTGTATCTTACAGTTTATTTATTTGGGCCTTTTTCTCCAATGTGGTTTCTTTTGGAATATAAGATGCTTCCTTAATGATCCCTTCCACTTTCTCAATGGCATCTTCTAAGTTCTTTTGCTGGCTGCGGTATTTCATTGAGCTGAGAAATAATTCACCATTTTTGTTGATTCGATTCCTCTCCTGTAAGTTTTCAAGAAAGGAGAGTTACTTCCTTCAGTCAATAGTGATGGTTTATACCCAAACGGCTCTACACAAAATGGAACTCTGAATATGGTGTCCGAAAAAAGAAAATGCAAATTAACTTTAGGGACGCAAAAACATGTTTCTCTTAGTTTGAAAAGCAGCAAGCAAAAACTTAGTTGATTCTAAGGAATTAGCAATTTCAAGGCTGAAATGTCAAACACAATAGTTTCAGTTTCCACTCTTTAACTACCCTCAATCAAATTCTACACAAGTGCCAGAAAATTGCTTGCAAGTTCAAACAAACACTTGCACTGATGTTATATGAAGGCTTGATTCTTAGTTGCATTGCTTCGATGGGACACAGACACCCTACATCAACTAGGGCAGATGTCCTGAGAATCAGTACCATTGTATAATTTTCAGCCAACTACTGTAGAACCTGTACTAATATTGAATAAATAAATATGTTTGGTTTCAGGTGACAATTTTAAGTTTACGATACCACTTCAAATTTTATTGATGTTGGATTTACGCAAGGCCTTTTCAAGACACATTCTAACGATGGCCATCCTTCTTGAAAATGTTTGGCCCNGTATGGCACAAGCATTTCACAGGAAAATATAACAATCGTAAAATTCATTCCAAGCTACGTCCAGGACCCGAGAGGCGTATCTTCTATATCCTCAATAGTAACGATATGATTGATGTCACTTGCCGCCTATGCGCTGTTTTTTTCTTTCTATCTTAGTTTAATTTTTTGCGAAATTAGTCTGTGATAAAGGGAAAAATATTTTTTTTAAGTTCTTTAAAGCTGCCGCGGAACCCTTCCCTAAGGAGCAAGTAATAAGACACAAATTAAAAGGAACAGGTAACGCACATGGAGGAACTCTGCAGTCACATGGAGATAATAATATCTGGAACAGAAAAGAGACTTCCGCTGTAGCTGAAGGATAGAAACTGATAAATAAATTAGGAATAGAACAGACTTTTTTTTTGTATCCCTACTAAATTGAGAAAGTAGGAGAGAGAGAGGAGGGGTTCTTATTTGAAAATTTGGCTCAAAGGTTGGGCACTTATTTGGGGGAGTGCGCTTATTCGAGCGTGGGCGGTCATTCGAGCATGGGCGCTTATTAGAGGAAATGAGGTAAATCAGCACGAGTAAATTTTTCAAAGACCGCGAACTGCAAATGCCCTAGTAAAGGGCTCGTGCACTTTTAATAGGCTTTGGAAAAAATTCACTCGTATAGATTTATCCCAAATTGCACTCGAATTCATGTGATTACCTATATTAACTGTTGTGCCGCAAAGGGCAAGTCAAACAGTTGTTGGTCGGAGCAGTTTTTAATTGAGATGATTCCTCAGAAAAAAAAAGTTATCGAACAATCGAACAATTTATTTCAAACTGTCCTTAAATGTTAGCTACCATTGTCTATTTCGAAAAATACAACATTAAAAAAAGGTCACCGTGCTTGTTTTAGGGAAATGATAGATCAAACGTACCCCATTTATAAAGGGA